TGGGTGCACCTGAGCCATTGCAAAAGATTTTGAGCCATGTCATTCAAGGTCTCTAACCATCGGTTGCTATCATCTCGCGGATCCCAACCAGGTAGTCTACACCTACCAAAATGGCTCAGTCCACTTGTCAATGACTTCATGGATTTGTGCCACCTTTTAGTCTGGCTCCCCCTAGCTTTCTTCTAACCTACACTATTCTATACCATAAAATATCGCACGTCGGGGTAGTCGGTGGTTGGGCATAAGTAACAAATGGCCCAGCCATCTCAACTGATGAATTTTCACGACTTCAATCAATTTGTTATCCTTACCTAGTTGGTACCCGTTTCCTAATAACTGCATTACTTTCCCGGTCGTCCCACGATATACGAGCAATGCTTCGAAGACACATATGATCGAATACTAGTAGCCTACGAATATCCTCTACTCTTATCAGAACGAACTGCTGTGCAGTAAACCCGTCCTTTGGTTGGACCCGTTGAGTTAATATATGTGATCACTTCTGATCATTTGTTTTTGTGCTGTTGTGAAAAATACAGTTATTCATCTATGAGACTGTTTATAATAAGTGTAAATCCCATTTATGCGCTGAGAAAATTCAACAAAAATGTGAATATGAAAATCGGTCTTCAAATAAGTGGTATTGTAGGGAGATTATAAATCCTAATCAAAGTATATCAATCAAAGAATGCAATTTTCCCACTAGATTAGTTGGAAGGACACCATAGTGTATTTCTTTCTTTTTAGAGGTATGAAGTCAATGGATTGGGAAATTTTCCTTCAAGATTGAAAATCATGACCAAGTTGTGTTGTAACTATGAGTAAATAATTTCTGTTATATGCCTCCATTACCCATGGTCCCAATCATAGATATTTCTGTTAAGTAGCTGGAAACGTATTTAAGTTGTAATTACTATTAAGTGAGGTCGGCATATTTACTCCATTAGCAAGAAAATTTTAAAATGATATTTTCAAGTCATATACTTTAGTATCAAAAGTTTAATTATCAACAAAAAAAATTAGAATTTCAGGAGTTGGGTTCATTTCGACATACACATGTTTAACTTCATTCTACATGATATTATTTGATATTTTATATAATTGAACTATAAACTACCGAATATCGCTTCTATCTGCTTAAAGTTTGAGCGGTATATAATGCTGGCTAAGGTTAAGTCCATTACTGTATTTGGCTCTGTTCGTTATTAAGGTACAATATATAATGCATCCCGGTATCTGGAGAAGACCTGTTTAATAATATGTATTTTGCCCTCTTTATTTGAAACGTGTTTCAACTAAAACCCTTTTTATTTAGCATAAATTAATGACATGATACTAAACAATGTACATTACACTTTCCCCGTTTGTATAGGGCATCTTATTTAAGGAGTATTACATAACATTGATTTGATATGAATTTTGAATATTGTACCGAGCAGATAAAATTTATCTAAATCATTCTACAACATTAGCTCATTACATATTACATTATATTTTGATCACATATTAAAAAATATTTTTATACAAATTAAAAAGGTCAAACTAAACAAATGAAGACAAACAAATAACAAGGATAATAAGAAAAAAAATCATCCGTCATATCACATTTATTGTTGAAATCAATAATAACAGAGTAAGTTTAATGTAAGTATTTTTCAATACACAAGAGGACTCGAATTTTCGCATGATTAATAGCTTAATACATTTAAATACACTCTCTAGATCACTCCTATATCAAACTAAAATGACTGGATTTAATCCAGTCTTATGACCTATTGCAGCTATATTTTTTTAAAAGGGAATGATTGCTTAAAATAATATACTGGCAATTAAAATTTTTGCCATTACCTATTTGGGATAGTAAATCAAGATTTACTACTCTAGATCAATCAAGGTTAACTGTCAATTTAAATTAAATCAATACAATATCATAATTATACCTCATGAGGATTCATGATTGAACTAGTATAATTCCTAAAAGGATTCCTAATGTGGTTGTTTGGAAGACAATATTATTTGTTTCATACAAATGATATTGTCTTTTGAAAATGAAGAAATGAGTAAACTTACTTTTCCTCTGTAAAGGATAATCAACACAATAAATTGAGAACAAGAATGGTCAAATGTATGACCAGCTCCTGAATACACCGTAAATTTTTGAAACCAAAAAAGTTCTATTGCCTATCTAAGAATTAGAAGAAAACATCGGTCATACCTTATCTTATTATTTTACAATGACCTACTCGGTGCTTCACGAGCTCACCTTAAAGATTATGCATTCGGTCAACCTTAAGGGAATATTTATTTGTAATTTGCAGAATGGTTTTAATATTTTCAAAGAGAATCGATAGGATTAATTTAAACTAGGAGTACATAATTTAATCTGCTGTATATGTTATATTAATTGGATGCCGTGGTCGGCGATTATCGAATCCATATACAGTCCTGTGATACTGACTGTAAAATTTTTATATGGACGTGTCTGAATAAAACAATAATACTGAAATTAAATATCACAATAAGTGAAGTTAACATCATCTCATTTATAGTTAAACTACTTTATTAAGTAGATATCTGTATAATAACAATTTCTGCCCCCCCCCCACCTTTTACACAAACACGTCGTTTGAAACCAAATTTTCTTGTTGTACAAAGGTGGCTAATAGATTAACGAACATCGCTTTACTAATTTAACATTTTTTAACGAATGCTCCCATTATTTTATAGAAATTATTTATCTCGTCATCGTACTTCATTCAATTTGATTGATGCATTTCTTACTTAGTTTAGTCATGATGTAAGCTGTTGTACGGTATTATCACTAGACACATGATTTCTCTAATGAAAATGTTTCCGCACTAGCTACTGTACCGTTTTTCTTCTTAAACATATTTACAAACTACTGTTAGCAGTTCATTGTTGTCTATATGATTAGTAAAAAATTATACCAACTTGCCTACATTTTTAATTGATAGTTTGTTTGCTATGATCGATTTCTTCTTTTATATGGATTGAGCATGTGTGGATGAGGAAAATCCTCAGAATCACGTACTATTTTATTATTCCACAACTTCAGTATGCAAAACTACATTTCATATTGGAATTAATGAGTAAATATTTAAAGCGTATTAAATTAAATGAGTCTACTTCACACCACAATATTTGTTCCCTTTATTCCAAAGACCATACTTAAAAGACAATGCACAATTGTTGTAAAGATACTTATGTACACGACTATAGCCTAGCAAGTGTCAACATACTCCATTTCGAAACATGTACTACGGTCGTTATTACATGCCTAAAGAACTACGAATTTTAGCCACTCATCACACTTTGAGTGTGAGAGCTAATACCACAACCCGGTTTTCCAAACTGAAGTAGGGAGAGGACAGTAGATTAAAAACTTTAACCACTAAGCCATATACATATATATTACAGAATACAAAGTCCAATTTATTTAACGCTTTATTCCAACAGATTACTTACTACTCATGGATGTTTGAATTAACTTCGACAGATAGAAATATTCGTAATAAATATTACGAAAAAGAACTGGGATATATAACAGTCTGCCAATAAGTCTAGGTTCGACGAAATGGTTAGGATTTTAAACTTATGGAACCTAATTAAATCAAGAATATATGAACTTTCAGAAATTTTATTTGTGTAGTACTAATTGGTTGATGTGACAAATCCAGTTTAGTGAATCTTACGACTTATAGCTAACGTACTGGTTTTATTTATACGCCAAGAGAAAAAACGAAAACTTATGACGACGGAATGAATGGAAAAGACCATGAACAGATTTCACTGGAAATCAGAACTTAATGGATATCAATTTTAATCTGAAATATGTGGTGGACTACACAAAATATCTTACACTTTTGTAGACAGAAGAAATACTAACAGTTCTCATCATGTGGCTCATGGATAGATACATAACTAGTTGGGAAACCATTTTAAAATAGAAAAAATTATTGTAAATTTGTTTTATCCTGACTCAGAAACTACTAAGTAATATGCGCTTTTAAATCCATAAGCGATAGATAATAGGACTTTCATTGTTTATTAACTTTTTCCAACAGAGGATCTTTTAAATTTGCTAATCTAGTTCCGTAAAAATCGACACCCTTGTCTATTTGAAATGCAATCCTAGTTTTATGTGACGCCTAATAACGAATTTAAAACAACTCTCCAAAATAACTTTTTCAGGAAAGTGTTAGCAGACGACATACCAAAGAATACACTTACTTAAGAAACCAGATTATTTCAAATTAAAAATTCCTCGTTGCCATTATGTTGTATATCAATGTGAAGTCAGAATCTATAACTCTGATTCTCTTCTAGTAAAATGTAGGTGTAACTTTCAATGTAATCTTATTACAAATAAACTGAATGTTACAAGCTAAAAATTTTGTACAGAAATCCTTGGTATGTGCATATTGTCCACTACTTTTATTTCAACAGTAATTCCACACCCATTACATTTTTATCCTAACTCTCATCGTTTTGGAAAATACTCCCCTCTAACATAACTAATGTACAGTTTAGGTGTGATGTCACGCATAGCACAGGTTAGTAGGATCGTTAGACTAAAGCAAGTTTACTTTCCAACATTAAAATGTCAACTGATTCAAGACCACCATAAACAGTGAATATATCTAGTTACTCAGTTAAATAACCCCATATTTCGGAAACTGACGAGAATATTTAATTTAATAATTTAAATTTATCGAAACACGAAGTACTTTGTACTTGAGTGCTATTTACAAAACATGTAGTGCGTCCTAAACATTTGTCAATCGACCTCACTTACCAGTTTGTCCATCCCCAGTATTTCGCTACGTCCAACTAGATCTATTCGAGTAACAATTAAGAGCTTCAGTTCATATTGCACAATCACATTCACGACTAGGTTTAGTAGATATCTCAACTACGAAAAAACTTCCTGACTTAACTTTTATCTATTGAGACAAATGTTTTTTCAGACATACACGTATCCAAGAAATTTTTTTTATTTTCGAACTTCAGTAACGACAAAACACGAAACTGTCAGAAAGAAATGCATAAACTGTGGTTATTCAACAAAATAAGGCAAAATGAGAATAAACTAAGCACATCTGAAGTGCAATTTTAGGAAACCAAAAGGGATCTGTTACTGGAATTCCAGTATAAAGGGAAATATTCACAGAAAAGTATTGACAGAATTAAATAGTTGCGCAAACAAGTATATCGCAATCTTGTGAAGAAAATTAAACTATGTACACTGTTTCCGCACATGCGAAAACTACGCAGATCTTATATAGAAAATAAATTTACAAGATCTGGTAAGGAATGAAATTAACCCGAAGAAATTTCTGGGAGTCTCTAATCTAGGTACACGAGTTTTGCAAATTCAAAAGAATATATTAGTTCTTGAAGACTCTGCTTGTTCTATTTCTTCTAGCGTTTTCGCCTTCGTCCGATTAAAGGATAGATTAGATCTAAGTGGTTGTTTTGATTTTTCCCACTCAACTAGTTGTGATAACAAAGTCAAACTTCCATTACTAGTTAGAGATTCATTAACCTTAGTTTGGTGTTGAGCAGAGGAATTTTTATTCCAATTAGTAGATGACGCTAGTGATGGGCTTGAGCTTTGGAACGGCAATAAATCTCCATAGTTTTGTTTTGAACAAGGTAAAGATCCATGAGAATTATTTAGATTTGAGGGCTCAGTACTGCCAAGGTAGAACTGCTTCACATTCATATCAATCAGACGATGGTTCGAGTCTGAAGACAATAATTACAAAAAGTTAAAAATATTCATAAAACATGAATTAACTGCAGTAAACCAAGAGTTAATTTTGCTTTAACGCAGTATAACTCACCTAGGTTCGTTGTATGCAATATGTAAACGATCAGATCACAGTATGGACATGTCTTTACAGTGACTACTCACTTTTCGGTTCAAGGTTGAAATCGTACTACAGACTTTACAAGGACGTTGGTAGTAACTGTGTTTAATGTAGAAAACTAGCATATCTATCAATTTATTTTACACAGATGAGAGGGGTTAAACATCATTAGTTAGAAATAACACAAATTTCCGATCCCAACACCAAAATCTAGAGTCGTTGCAACACTCCAAAATGTCACGTTACCTGGCTGAAGCAATTGTCAATTACAAATTGGGTCTAAGTTATAATAATTATGCAACTCATTTATATTGAGGGCCTAATTGGAAAATGGTAGATTTAAATAGGCTCCTCCCAACTCTTAATAAAGTTGACAGGACTAAAGTTAATTTAAAGAGAGGGATTTTAGTGGGTTATGATGCGTTAGACTCTTTTAGGATAGTTTAGGTTAACCAATTCGACAAACTGAAACACCAACTAGTCTGGGAAATGAACATAATCTCATCCACCTGGCCCCAAAGTGTAAGAAAGGATGGAAATTCTCTTGTGATAGCTGAATAGGAATTAGTTTGACTTGGATATTAGCTTCAATAATTAACCAACATCGAACCAGGGTTTGTAAGCAACAAATCCAACAAGTTTCAGATTTGGACGTCGATATTTAAATCAGATATTGACTTTCACATTTTGGAACACAGACGAAGGGTCACTACTTCAGCAATGTTGGTTAAGCTCAAATATATGAGGGACAATTATCAAAATATTCGACTTTAAGTGCTATTCGACAGCTTTTGTCATTTTCATTGGAGTAAAGTAGTTTAGCGTGCTAACCATCTGTCCCAGAAGTCTCATCAGTCCTTTTTAGTTGGTATTTGACGGGATACCGGCACGGATTTGGAAGGCTCGCTTGACTTTTGTCAGCATGAGTCACTCGTGGTGTAGGTAAGATGTCTGTTTGCAAAACAAGAACGAGTAAGCTGAACAGCAACTGGTTTCATCTTAGCCTTATGGCTGTGAAACCTGACCTTAAAAAACAAATATCCGGTTGTTACTACTTGATTAAAAGTAACTATGAAGCATTGCTAGAGAATACTGGAGCCTCCGAGTAAACAGGGCTGAATTTAGATGCAAGATACGAAGCAAAATGATAAGACTTTAAAATACTGATGACGAAGCTACACACTTTGGAGATGACTGTTAATTGATAATTTTGCTCCTAAGAACAGAAAGCAAATGACAAGGGAACAGAACAGAATGCTTACGGGAAACAGCTTACTATTGTAGTATTCATGTTCGGGAAGTAGTATGGCTTTGATTATGAATAGGCATTATGATAAGAATTACTCAGGCACCAATCTTAGTTTAATGCTTCGAGTGAAAAGTTTGCCATTTGGTAAAACTAAATGAGATGAACGAAACGCAAGGTGAGCAATGTCAGTTCAAATTAGTCAAAACTTCCAACAAAAAGGAATCAATTATGAGTTATAAGGAAATTGCATTTCACAATGTAGTCATTAAGATTGTATCACATGTAAGAGGATAAGTAATCTTAGACACAACTAACCTTCACGACTACATACAAACACAAAAACGGCATTACCTACCTTGGTGAACTGATGGATTGACAGACAAATGGCTTTGGTTATTATTGAAAGTAGAGTTTGGTGCCTGTTTATTTGAGTTGTAATCAGCGAAAATATTTTGTTGGGCCTTAACTATAGGTCTTCCAGGTAATCCTGAGTCCGGAGTTTTAATAGTTTGAAATCTAGATGCATCAGGATACAAACCTAAACTTAGATTCAGTAAAACTGCTGTTATTACCTAAGGGGTGCAGTTGTGGGCTTGTGTGAGGAGCAACATCCCTCGTGCCATCCCAAATTTGACGAAGGGAACCTAAAAAGTAATTTAAGGAAAATCACTATACCATGCGAAGGTAGATCGACATCACAAGGTACATCAAGGGGGACACCTGGGTTTTGCAATCGACTAATACATGGACCTGGAGACGTGGCATCGCCCTAAAAGAAAGAAAAATTAGTTAGGTGAGCAAATGAAATTGTTATACCAAGTTCAGTCAATCAGTCAGCTACAAAGTAGGACCAGGCACATATATGCATCGGTTCAAGCTGCCACACCTAATTAACACAAGATGATCAAATTCATAGTAGCTACTTCAAAGGTAGTACCAAGCTATTAAGAAACCAACGCAAACCACTGTATTGAGCCAATAAGAAAATAGTAAACATGTGAGAATTTATCGATAGTTAATGTCCACAGAAAAGATTGCATACCATAAAATTTGAGACCAGTCCAAAATGTGAGTGTGAATTTTGAGGATTTGTAGACTGAGAGTAGACGGAGTTTTGCTGTTTTCTGATCATCAGTGATTGCAAAATAGGCACCAGGTTGGAAGTCGTTCCTGACTGAGAAAACAAGCTACAGTTTTTTGATGAGCCAATAGGTATGCCACGAGACTTAATGGCTTGATCATCTATGAAAGGATCCGAATAATGAGTAAGAGGATCACCGTTTGGATTGATTGATTTGTTTATATCAGTTGAATCTCCTTGAGGTAATTTAAGCTGAGCTTCAATTTCTTCAACAGTTAGTACTGCTGGTTTTGATTCTGAATAAATAAGTTATATGATTATCAGGGTGCACTCACCTTTGACCGGCCCAACATTCGGGGGATAAACAGGGCCATGTCCAAGTAGAATAGAGCGAAGCTTATTTTCAACTTGAAGAGTTGAAAAAGAATTAGGATTTGTAGATACCATACCACTGTTTTTTTCAGGACTGAGATGACTGGCAGAATTTCCGCACGGACCTTTCAGCAACCTAAGTAACTGTTCGTTGATATTGTCTAAAGAAGCTGGCTTGTTTGGAAGCTTATTTTCATCTGATATCTCATTCTTTTGAAACAGGTGTTTGAAACGGCTTCCTTGATTATCGGACATCACGTGATCCGTGACACTCGTTGTGGATTTGCTTGGTTGTTCAGGCAATGCATTGCTGTCATCTTCCAAGGCTTTGTCATCAAAGACGTTTCTAGCACTAATGCTCGAATTTGTCAATATACTACCATCAACTTGCGAAATATCATTTTCCACTCCTACGCACTTTCTGGGTGAGCCACATTCCACGGTTTCTTCTAAAATTCCTCCAAGTTCAATCGTTTCGTTAACCGTGGTAGGACCTTCTGCAAACCACTCAGGTTCATCATCGCTGTGCGAACAAGAAATTCGACGGTCATGACTGTAACGGTCTTCTCTGCTGTGGTTTTTAACAAACGGAGCACTTTCAGCATGTCTTCCCAGCCCGCGATCACGACCTCGACCGGAGCCACGAATATCGTTGGATCGATACTCTCTTTTGTAGTCACTAGTCGTCTTACAATGCTGCTTGTCGTATCGGTTTTCTGAGTTAAATTTAGGCCAACGAGTAGAACTGTTTGCATCTGACGTTTCATGACCTTGAGGCTGTTGAGAGACATGACAACCAGTGTTCCACGAACGTTTTTGAGGACCGAGGACTATGTTGGAAGCATCTCGAGTCTTCTCTGTACAAACCGTTTGTTAATGAATTTACTTAACGTACCAGCTCCCTGAGTTTTAGAAAAAGAATTGGGTCTAGGCCTTCCGCGAGTTGAACGCATAAACGGAAGCATTTATCCGAGAGAGTTCGTCCGAAAATTCAGCAGTAGAAACCGCATTTTCTTTAACTGCCAGGATTTCTTCCTAATAGCGTAGAAAATTATTTTATCGAGTAAACTTACTCGACTATAATGGATTCGACAGCTCTTAGACTCACATTGACTATCAGACTTACGTTCACCCATTTGAAAAACGCAGGTAGGATTGTCAGTTTGATAAGTGCCAGGAAAGAGCCAAAAACAAACCCAATACCTGCAACAAACCAAGCCCCTACTAAGAGTACATGAAACCGTAAGCTCCAAACAATCCGCCTCACTAACGGGAAGTAGCGCTGCAATACAAATTCAATCGTGAAAATTATAGCTACAACTTGTCTGAATAAGCCGATCATGCTCAACTGAGATTCTAGATATGCAATCTCTGAGGGACTAGATAGCACTCTGCTTAACCAGAGCATGAAGGGGCATCAGCTTATATCTTTGTGATGTTAAAACCATTACAATTGATTGTGATGTTTCCTTTTCTTTAGAGGCATTGTGACGTTTGTATATCATGACCATTCATTTGTACGTCGTTTGTGTTTAAGTACGGTTACAACTTTAAATACAATTTGAAGAGCCAGTCAGGATGAAATTCATGCGCGTAAATCTAAACGCAACGTTTAACATGTATTGGAAACACTGTTGTTTACTTCTGAAAACGCGTAAATGCTAACGAAAAGCCACCTTTGCCAACGTAGGATAGATTGACAGTGTTGAAAGCATCAAATATTCAATTCCGTCACTGTAGATTGCATATAACAGGTAAATCGACCCAATACACCAATTCCTATAAACACCCGTGACCTAGATCCATTTAAATTTTAAGCAAGAGCTAATCAAACAATTCCTAATGCGCTTTTTGCAAAATTCATCTTTCCGTGTGGTTACAGAGCATCTTTACTTCATATCTGATGCCCGTTTGTGAGAAAAACAGCAGTCCTGAACTACTTACCCATACTTCGAATACATACCCCTAACTCGGAAACGCGTGAAGACGCTTAGAACTTACACGCTCGATTCACTATTAGAACTAGAGAGGACAGAAGGCGTATCTATAAGAACGAATTTATAAGACGTCGTTTTTTCATTTTTCCGACAAAATATGGAGATGGCTTATATTAACTTGTAAAGATGGCACAAGTATTCGGAGTTTTAAAACACGTTTGCTCATAATACATTTGAAATGGAAGTATACCAACCCAGTCAAATCAGAAGTCAGAAATAAAGTGGTTCAAAAATGTATCTGGAAGGCTATCGTCATGCCAAGAGGCGTTTAATCTAAGTTGGTTGGCAGTTGTAAGGGATGCGAAGCACGGTCTACTCGTGATCTGGTGCTTGTGCGTGACCGAGCGCCTTCAGCTAGTAAAATGAACGAGGTCAGCATCAATGTCGAAAACTCACAGATTTATTTATTTCGAAGACTTTTACTGTTAAACTAGTTTTGTAATAAACTTTTTTCATTTTACACATTTTCCATAGTTGCATATAGTTTATACATTCACTGTTTCTGATCGCAAAACTGTTGCCTGAATTCGGGCGTGACTTTTCCGTCATTGTTTTGTTTTGTGTTTGCATAGCATACTAGTTACCGTTCACAGATCCATTTCTGCCCGTACGCTTCTCGTTCTCACTTTATCGGCTGCTACGTTAACAGTTCTGTAACGTTATTGCCATACACATTTATGGATACAAATAACGTCCTCATAACTCGATTATTCCCGATATACATTACCTTGGATCATGCATGTCGTGTCCGGAATTACCAACTACTTATTATAATTATGGATTACATGACAAATCGCAGACACTCTTGTAACTAACAATGTAAGTAATGAGCAGGATTTTTACATGTGTGTTGGTATTTAATGCACTATTAGTTGTCTTTACAACTTTTTCAACGACGGCCGCGTCGATCAACCTTGAAGGTCTTTTCGTGACAAGAATCACGTGAAAAGGTCCCTTGTAAGACTGTTGCAGAGGTTTGCGTATCAAATTTCTGTACTAAGTGGTTCTTATGGATTTATTAGAAATTTATTATTAAAGATTGTTGTATAAATTATGTGGAGGTGTAGATTTACAATTATATGTTTAATTGGAATTGATAATTGGTCAAATGATTTATCACTAAAATAGAATCACCAACGCATCATCCTCAAATGATCGACATCGGAATGCAGAATTACCCTCCATTTTGATCATAACTCATATTTTAATTGTTTCTGTAATAAGTTACACTGTTTGAAATTCACTAAACAACTTCGATGTTGATCAGTATGAGCATTAGATGAGGAACTCACGTTGGTTGTTGTGTGTCATTACGGAGTAATTTTTTGTGGTGCTGAATCTGACTGCAATTAGATTGTATAAATGATTGTTATTGAAAGATTGCTGTCGAAATATATATGTCTCCAATCCTCGTATATAATCATCGACTTAAATCGCGTTAGTGAATAACGGAAATAAATAAGTCAAATACGAGAATGGACTTTTGAATACATATATTTTTTACACTCGTTGATCTGGTCAGACAATCAGAGGGACGAAGTGAAGGAAGCAAAGAGAAGAAAACCAAGCTAAATGACACGCAGTGGAGAAGGCATCTGAGCCGACACAATTTAATCAAATGTTAATCGATATTTATAGTTAGATGAAAATAAGTTATAGGCATAAGATGAATAGGATAGGAAGTGCATACACATACGCTCATATAAAAACAGTCAAGGTTGATAAGCGAATAATTAACAAGGTCAAAATGTGACTCAAGAAAGATGAATAAATTGGCCTGTCCTAAAGCTAGAATAATCTGTGTGAACTTAACATAGCTACCGACACTACAATTTACTTGAGCACATAACATTTCATTTTTTATTATTCAGATGACAATCTCTTAATACTCTTGATAGTTACTTCTAATTTTCGTACATTCATCAAGCTCTTGTTTAAATGTAACCGTTTCCATTTTTTGTGCTAATCGCTTCCATTACTATTGCTGACAAGGATTGCGAATGTAGACACAGCTTCTAACTATTATTTACACTATCATATGTTTGTAAATAATTTTTATATAACTATTTATCCACAAAACCCCTTCTGATATAAATTATTTTTTATGGTATATATTGATGAGTACAACGTTACGGATATCTAAAGAGTTGTGGTTTGTTAATATTTTACATATATGTTGTTCGTCAGATAATTGTTTCGTTTAGATTTGGAATTTGATGTGTCACTCAATCGTTGAGTTCGTAGTGACACACTTTTATCACAAGAACACGATTGGTTTAATGAAAACAATCATTATTATTATAACCAATTGTACATGTGCTTGTTTAATGTGCTCTTTGTTTAACTGTGCTAATGACAGCTATATTATGCTTCCATTATTATTCTTACACTTTGATTGTGAACTCGCGCGAATTCGGTTACGCTCTGTAACCAAGCTTGTATCCTGGCATGATCTCGGTATTCTTTCGATACCACGAGATCGCCAGCAAATATATCTCGACTTGGTCCATTAACTGTCTTCTGATATTTGGCTTCCGGGGGATTTATTTGGCACGTGCTTCTTAGTAGCGGTTTTCATAGTCAACCGCGACTCGACGCCACGCTACAAGTTAAAATCTACTACATAACTCAAATCCACGTATCTGAAAAATACTTAACTAAAAATTACACATGATGAAGAGTCATTTAAAGCGTGAGATAGTGTATTATAGGTGTTTTCAAAGTTATTAATCAGTCAATGAAATTATGATCTTTCTGTAAAGATGTTAAAATCGAGTTCAGATCCAAGGGTTTTACAAAAATTGGGCATTGAGTAAATGATGTTTTGTTTTTGCACTCATTGGAAAATATAGATTCTAATTAGAATGACTAAGATTATATTGTTTGGGTTAATGCTCACTTACCAATGAAATTCGAAACCTGAAAAAAATCTCTGAGCTTATTTCTTGACCAAGTCGAAATGTAAAGTTTTGACAATCATAAACATAAAAATTCTCGATATATTTACTTTCTAGGCCATAACACACGTTTTTAAGATTGATCATTGTGTTGTAACGTGTGAGACTGCAGGTTATGATAAGCAGCGTTTATATCGATCGATCACAGTAACACGGAAAACACGTATGGACGACCTAGAGCCCTGACTGGTCCCGCTTCGCAGTCTGTCCCAGCCAGTTGAGTCAGGATCACAAGTCACAGCCTCTGAGTTATGAATCATTGTGTTTCAGACATACTCTATTTATATACCAAACAAACAACCCACATCGTACCATAAAATAGAAAACAACATTTACACAATATGTAACAAATGAATTAAATAATAGCCAATAGGGGATGTACATTTAAAGTCCAAGGCCACCATAGACTTAACACGATAATTATTGGTATATTTTCCCGACTATCCTAACACATTGATTAAATTATTATGTCTGGTTGTCGCTGATTGCTATGTCGGAATCGCTTATTACTTAGACCTGTAAAACTAGTAACTACTGCAATTCCGACGAGGTGAAGTAAGAACACCAAGGCTGGTACAAGTGGAGATTGATTATATACAAAACATGACGACGCCACCCCTAGTCTAAATCACACCCATTTCTATATTCATTGTACACTTAATTTAATTAATAACTAGGATAAAATCACATATATGAAAAATACTTGGGGTTATAACAAATCTAATGCTGCATGTCATGCTGAGCATGGTCCCTGTTAATTTATTACAAGAATATCATATGTTATACCGAATGAAATATCACACTGGGAAACAAAACAAATATTACTCTGAATAATCATCACATTGAGTAAAACAATGTAATTTTGCCTTTTTAATCCCGTCATATCATAAATAAACGATGACTGATAGATGAAGTGATTCATGTATTCATTCAAACCACTAATATCTAATTATATGCCCATTTCTGTCTCATTATCTGTGATTTACATATATTCAACATATTTATTGATTGATTAGTAAATCAAGAGTTTTTTGTAAACATCATTTGAATAATTTTGATTAGACAAATATATAGGGCCAGTGAAATGTCAGTGAGCCCTAGCCAAATCATCCGGCAGTTTGGTCGCTGGATATCAAACAGATCATCGATCTCTGTCAGTGTCAAAGGAAAACAACGCGCATCACTTAGTCGTATGCCATGGACTGGCCCATGCGGTGGTGGTCGCACTTTTCCTTGTACTTATTTTTACTAATATATTTCCGTAATAACGTCCTTTATGTTGTACGGTTTTCAAAACAGCCACAGTACTTTGATACGTC